ACTATTTAGCAGTCTGATGGATGAACTAGAAAAAGTTACGTCTACAAGATCTGCATCAAATTAAGATTATGTGGTGCCCCCAGGCATTAGAGATACAGTGCCCTATTTCTGCAAAACTCACTTATAATAAAATAAGACCATTTGCTGAAAAGACTTGCTGAAGACTCCTTTTATCAATTTTTCATAACATCTTTTTTTAACATCTAAACTAAAGCAGAGTTAATTCCTTAGCTAAGACCTTAGCTCAGTCAAAATGGGTCAGGTATTCTAACAAGAGGATGAGCAGATCACTATAAAATGTCAAAATTGTCCTGTCTATGTTTTACCCACACAGACACCACTGTCCAACAAATTTACACAGTGACTATGCTTTTTGGATTTATGGCTAGAATATCAGGCTGACTGTTGTGGTGTGTGAATAGATTTAACATAAACGGAATGTTTCAGAAAGTGTTAAACAAGCGATTGCAATTTTAAAGTGTGTTATATTGTCAAAAAATTTGGCCCGAGGTATCTGATCTTATCCGCAAAGCACTGCATTTAAAAAAACAGCACGTTTCTGTGATGAGTATCACCACATGTGCACAGGAATACTTTGACAAACCTTTAAAAAAACAACATTGATTGTTGCATCCACAAATGCAAGTTAAGCAAAGGGGAACCCTCAGGGAAGCCTTCATAGAAGGTCTAAGGTTTTCTTTTTTTTAATCATTAGAGTCATGCTTGTGTTTAAACTCTGCAAGTATTCCAGTACTCTCTACTGAGTCACTGTGAAACTACAAGGTAAAAATATGCTAATATGTGTGTGACAAGTGTCAAGTAAAAAATAAACCATCTTACGGTAGCTTCAAATATATGTGTTTAATCTACAATAGCTAAAAATGTTCATGTGAAATGCTGTGTGCTAACAAACCACTAGATTCCCATAGGGATGCTAGCAGGAATAAGCATTATTTTAAGCTTATTATAAGCACTATTATACGTGAGTTTTTTCACCATGTTTTGCCTGAGTTTTGACATTTACTGAATTGAAGGTCTAGCTCTAGTAGTCCAGCTTCACCCCTGAAGTTAAGATTGTACTATGCACAGCAGAAGTCACATGTGAAACAAAAAAAAACCCATTGGCTTCTCTGTGCTCAAGCTTGTCTGAAATGGACTGTTGCACAATGGATATTATGAGTATGGCAGGATATTATGTTCTCTAGGCCAGAATAAAAGGACCATCCAGAATATTAACAATGTAAAGCTAAAACGCCATGGTATTGGGGTCTATTTGTGCCCATGGTATGGGTAACTTACAACTTGCACATCTGTGAAGGCACCATTAATGCTAAAGTACACACATTTTGGAGCAACATATGCTGCCCTCTAGACAATATCTCTTTCAGGCATGTTTTCACATTACAACATCAAGCCATATTTTGCATGTGTTACAATAGCATGGCTGCATAACCATAAAGTGAGGGTGCCAGACTGGCCTGGCTGCAGTCCACAGTTGCCTCCCATTGAAACTGTGTGACTTGTATGAAATGTGTAATATGACAGTAAAGGCCCTGTACTTTTGCACAGCTAAAGATTTGTAAGAACGGAAAAAAAAATTAAAACAGAAATAATTGGTGTCTTCAATCCCTATTTAAGTGTTTTTTAAAAGGAATGTCTCCAGTCAAGTTAAAAGTGTAGTATTTATGAAGGTATACTTGAAAAGAATGTGCAGATAGTATAATACAGTGTTAGCGATTATAATTGTCAAATAGCACCCGGCATTAGGCTAAGGCATAGTACATACCTTTGGCTTTAAGGTTAAAAAGGCAGCAGCTTAATCTGCAAGCTCTGTTCCCACCTCAAACCTGGAGCAAAGATAAATTAGGCAGCCAGCTGGAAAATGATTAAAATGGAAATCATTCAAACATAAAACAATGATGATGGGTGTACCAGTGGAAATAGCTTTTACTTTAGCAGAGATTATCTTTTGGGAATTGCAACAATTCAAAGCACCTATCTGGTCAGGAATAAAACCAGTAATATCTGATCATAAAATCAACAATTTACGCACTCATCAAGCACTTTATTAGGAACACCTTTACAACACCTTTACAGTAGTTTTGACTGTAGGATGATTTTTGGTGCCAGACGGACTGCTTTGAATATTTCTATAATTGCTGTGGTTTTCACGCACAACAGCCTCTACAGTTAAGTCAGAATGACGCAATAAAGGTAAAACATCCAGGAAGCAGCAGTGCTGCAGAAATTACTTGTAACCCATATAATAAAACTCTATATACAATTGTGGTGAGCATGTGTGTGAAAAGCATCTCAAAATGCACAACACATTGAAGACCATGTTGGGTTTCAGTTTTGTCAGCCAAGAACAGAAAGCTGAGGCTGCAGTGGGCACAGGCTTACTAAAACCGGTCAGGTAAAGACTGGAAAAATGTAGCCTGGTCTGATGAATATCAATTTCTACGGCGGTACATAGATAGTAGGGTTAGGATTCGGCACCAATAGCATGAATCCATGGACAACCTCGTGTCAACAGTCCAGGCTCATGGAGGTGGTGTAATGGTGTGTGGAATGTTTTTTCTTGGCACAGTTTTGTGTAATTTAAAATCATTCATCACTTGAATGCCACAGCCTATTTGAGCATTGTTGCTGACCATGCACAGGCCCCTTAAGGCTACCCAACTCTTAATGGCTATTTCGAAAATGACAATGCACCATGTCACAAAGCAAAAGTCATCTCAAACTGTTTTCATGAATATGGCATTGAGTTTAGTGTTTCTCAGTGGCGTTCCCAGTCACCGGATTTGAATCCAATAGAACACTTGGTATGTGGTAGAGCAGGAGATTCATAGCATATGAGTGTACCTGAAAAATCTGTAGGAACTGTATGATACAATCATGTCAACATGGACCAGAATCTCATGGAATGTTTCCAACATTTTGTGAAATCCATGCCATGAAGAATTGAAGCTGGTTTGAGAGCAAAGTGCAGCAAAATACACATTTTCATTTAACTCACACTAAAGCACTTAATCTGAACATTTTATGTAATATACTTTCTATACCATTCAGAGGAGACATGCCACCAGAAGCAGAAAAAAATTAAGGGACACTTAATTTTGACAAAAACAAAATACAGAGCAAAAGACAAACGTAGAGGTGGGTCAGGTGTAACTGAATATAGGCCTTGGAAGCATATTGTTAAGTACATGAAGTATGGAATTGTAGGAAATGGTCTTAAATGAGTCTCCAGTGCCAAGATGCATGTGAAAATACAAAAGTAATTCATTATTACTGAGCTTCAGCTCAATATACATATTATCTGTATAACTGTACAGGCTACGCACATAATCTGCAAATAAACCTATACCTGGACATACCTTGACTATAACACAAAGTGAAAGCATTATTCATTATAAGCATTGTAAGTATTATGCTATTTAGAACATATGATAAGATTACATATTAAATAGATATTAAGAATATAACACTGTGCAGACATGCATCCAACATTCTGAATACAGTGAAATTCACTATTTGATGTAAAACTGAAACAGTATCAGAGATACCCTCTATTACCTGTTTTTTATTACATCTACAGTTTAAATGTAATTTAACCTTTGCTTGGCTACTTAGTTGATCATCAGCTGGCTATTTTAAACAACAGCTTCAAAATTATCATGCTAATCCCTCAATGTACTAAAAGCTGTAAAATGGATACTCACTAAACTAAAATCACAAATATGCTGCCATGTGTGTATATTTGTCATAAAAACCAACACAATGCACAATAGTTTATAAACATTTAGCTATATTTGAAAATGAATTGTGGAAAAACAATTAGTGTTATAATTTTTATAATTGAAAAGAATTAAAAAATATTTTCAGCTCCTTCATTTGGGAGTAGGGCTGGTTCATTGGTAGGGGTATAGGGATGGGCACACAGGGATGGTTCATTGGTAGAGGTATGGGAATGGGTAGATAGAACTGAATCATTGGTAGGGGTATGGGGATAGAGACACAAGGCTGGTTCATTGGTAGGGGTATGGGAATGGGGACACAGGGCAGATTTATTGGTAGGAGTATGGGGATAGGGAGACAGGCCTGCTGAGCCTGGAGCTACATTTGTTGGGCCTAGCAACAGTCATGGGCAAAGACGGATTTAGTATAAATAGCTTGCTACAACTTTACCTGCATTGATTAAAGGGCATCTAAAAGAGAAGTGAAATGTAAACACTCAGAATTTTCTAAAGATAGGGGAGCAGAAGTAGCCTACCCTTGTGACAAAAAGGTATTTCAAAATAGTGTTAACTTATGTTACATTATTTTGGAACCACTAATTTGTACTTAATCACTACTAATGTGTACTTGATATATATATTTAAGTCATGCTTTATGTATACTAGGTATACTAGTCGTGTTATTTTCACTTCTCTTAAGGAATAATTAAATATTACTAGTCTGTGCTGCCAAAAAGAACTGTAAAAATACATTTAAAGCATGCTAAAAGTATGTGTGCAAGACTAACTTTAATCACATGTTAGGTATGTCAAGTTATATAATCCCAGTATATAATTTGTATATATAAAAGAATTCTTGTGCTTTTACAATACTAGTTCAATATACTTAAGTATGTGTTTGAGAGATCCTGTTAAAAAGCCATGCCCCACCAGCAGGCCAGAAATCAATCATATTGTATATACAAGAGTATATCTGAAACATTAAAGATCCAATATAGGCAACCAAGGTACCAAGAGGCCACAAGAGGCCACTTGGAAAAGTCAAAAAGGCCACTTGGAGAGGCCACTAGGGGCACAGAACATTAGTTTGAATTAGCGTGAATAACTTCAAATCAGTAGGAGGAATCAATGCCAAATTTTGCATGGTGAAAGTAGACCCCTGGTGATACAAGCTTTGAAAGCAGAAAGTGGAGCACATGAACTCTTCAATTTGTAGTAACTAAAACATAATTTATAAAATTAAATTTAGTGTACAACCACTGTATTTAAATGGCCATTTATTTTATACTTTGTAATTTGTAATAGAAGATGGTCAAATGGTTCAAGTCTATAAATACTGTACTTAAGGTGTAAACAATAATGCAGGTTCTGTATTAACAACATATAAATATAACAACACTCATAGGTAATACACTTAATGTATTTACGTAATTCTCTAACATTGTACATATTTCAAGTGTTTGTTTTTTTTTTTAAGAGTGCTGCTCTATTTTCCCAAAAGTTAAATTTTACACACATAATTCAAACATTTGTATTAATTCTCAAACACATTCTCAAAGCTCCTTTGGTGTCAGAACATCATTACAGGTGTGATGCCTTGACAAGTGTTGAAGTGTGCCCAGCCACTGCTAGGCCACTAGAAGGAGAGAAAAAAAGAGAAAAAGAAATTAAACTTCATCATCTGTGTTTAGGTATGCAAACAAGTAATCAAATCAGAAACACAGGGTGGAAAACATGGTAAGAAGTGAATATACTACCCAAAAAAAGTTCACACTACATTGAACACAGAAGCCAAATGTTCAAGGAGTTATATAAAACTGCTTAGTACTTACTAGTGCATAAAACTGAAACATATGTTTTTATAAGTAAAAAATGGGCTGTTGTCCATTCTGTTTGTAACTTATTTTGTGATGCTTTTTTCAGTCATTATTATTTCACATTACATAAGCTTTTAAATTTTAATCCACTAAATTAATCATTAACTACATAAACCTGTTTTTGTTCTGCATTTTAAATGTTTAATCTTTTTATCTGTCATCTTCCACAGACTGATGTGGAGAATCTGCAGACAAGTGACACAGATGAGCTACAAGGCACACATTTGGTAAAAATTTACTTCAGTGTCGTAATAATGGCTTTGTCAGCTGCACAATGTGTCATAAGTCATTATTTTTTCCTCATTCCAGAAGCACAATATATACCTACATAAGGCAGACAGGTGGTGCCCTGAGAACAAAGCCCATTTCAAGCTAGAGGTTGCACAAATTCCACTGCTATAAATGACCAGTTATGAGGCCCTGCGCAAATTCTCAGTGAAGATGAAAAAGCAGATTTGCTTGTGAATTTTTCTTTTTTGTTCCCAGAAATGTGTTACTTTCTGGAAAATGTAAGAGACAAAATGAATCTTAGAAACTTTTTGGAAAAAAATTTGATTCATGTGTGCAATCCATCCTGTTTTGAATTCTCAGAATGTCTGTGACTTAAGCTCTTACAAGGGTGTTCAGAAACAGAGTTATAATTTTTTTTTTAATTTTATGTATTAGTTATTCCTGTAACTGATTTTTTTCTATTATTTACTTACATAATTCATGTACATATTCGCTTATTTATTTGTTTGTTTATTTGTTTACTTGCTTGAACTAATAAAGCAATGTGTAAACTCAATTTCTGACGAAAAACTTTGTTTTAATTTTGGCTATTAAATAGTAAGATTAATTATATAAAACAATTAAACTTTTAGAGTTATTTGTTTGTGCCGTAACAGGTAGTAATTTGGGCTCCTTAAAGTAGAAAACCTCAAACACAATACTATTAGATTTATTTCTACTTTGTTATTTTAAGTATATTGATCTAAACCACTTAAATTATACTCAAATAAATTACCACAGTATGCTCAAAATCACTATGTTAAGTCAACCTATTTTTTAATATAAACTGAAAATAGTTGGAATTTAATCAAGTTTTGTAGTAAATACAACTAAATTAAGTCTAAATAAGACTAAATAAGGACTTTAAGAATTTAATTCTTAAATTCAAGTTGTTCCAACATAGAAAGATCCATGCAAACTTCTGTTTTTGCATTCTTAACATTTCTTAAAATATAAGCCCACTTACTTACTACTCAAAAATAATAATTTTCAGACTACATCTGCCACATTTATTGAGAATACAAGCATAACATAACAAGCAGCAAAAAGGTTTAGATATGCCATTCAATTTTTAAACTTTAAATTTACTACATGTAAAAATAAACATAAAATATTGCCTAAAAAATGTAATCCTCTACTGCACCTTTTTTCTTAATAACTGCTCCATCCACATCTTGTTAAAAACAAACAGCACAGTTGAATCTGAATCTGAATATTTCTGAGTTCAGTCACTTGTTAGGAAACAACTAAAATGTATTCCTTACAGGAATCTTTACAGTGTTTATCATCTTATTATCATCTTTCCAAAGTAAACAAAAATTGGGATTAGAGGTAGCAATATGGCAAAACATAATATTACTATATCATCAGGAATTTTTTTTATGACACACCATGTGCCGCAATATTTATTTTTGTGACATCTGATCAGTTAGAACAGACAAAGCAGTGCCACATTTGAACAAAAAAACCCTATCAAAAACTAGTAACGAGTTTTTTAAATAACTTTTATAATGTTCTTTATTTAGCTAGCTTGGAAGCAGGACATACTAAACAAACTAGGTTTATTTAGACAAGGCTGAAGTTGGCTTCAAAGTTATTTTAAATGTATAAATTATGTTTTGAGATCCTATTATTTTAAATAATATTAAGCATTTAGCCTTACTTACCTTACCCAGTCACAGGATAACGACGGCACTTGTGCTTCAGAGTGCCTCACTGCACTTTTGAACTGAATGAAAATACGTTTGCCAACTCAGTTTATTGATATTGCTCTGAGGTCTAGAAAAATTATTAATTATTAACTTGCTTTGAGTCAGAATCACATTTTACAGTGTGCTGTAATGGTTCTGGTCACATCAGTGATTTCCATGAAAAAAAAACAAGCAAAAACTTCATAGTGCGCCAAGTAGTTTCTAGTTCTGAATTTTTAAAGTTTTACAGAATTACTGAACTGACCTGAGCTATTAGCTGGATATCAATACAATACTAAAAAGAAATATACACTGTAAAAAGTGGCTTGTCAGATTAAAAAATTACGTCATGTGGTAACAAGTAAATTAACTAGTTTTATTCAACCTAAATAAATACTTGTGTAAATGTGTGAATGATTCTTTCAATCAAAGTCATTTTTTGAGTTGAATAAAACTATTTCATTGCTTGTTACAATAAGTATTTTTTTAAGTAGATCTGACGAGCCACTTTTTATAGTGTACTTTAAATCAACTATTCAATTAGTGATTTTACATTTCCACAACAGGTTAAATTATTGGTGGATGTTGTTTCCATGTCAGATTATGTAACATTGTACATGTTCTTTTGCCAAATGTAGGTTTTGTATTCTTTCACTGGCAAATCTATGAGTAATTCATTTCTGTATGCAATGCTTTGAGCTACACCATGATTTTAAACTGGCCTCACAACTAACATTGTATAGGCCTCTTTTACTCTATATTTTCTTAGATAAGACTGATCTAATTTCTTTTATGAGTCAGAAGCGTTATGCGTGATTAACATACAAACAGGATATCTGTATCAGTGTTTGATAGGCAATACGTTTTTGTATGTCTTGTTGTTGGGCTATCTATCATGCACAGAATCTATTGCAGAAAAATTCAACAAATATTCTGTCTAAAGATCCTATCCTGGGGGTGGGGGTGTCTCTTTTGGGGGCTTTCTATTTTATCTGCTGTGACAGAAATAAGTCTCTCAAAGTTTATCTGAAATTTCGACTTCTTATGCATTTAATGGTGTGTAGTGTTGCTCAAGGTGCCACATTACCAGTATTATGATATGAAATCACCATGGGCCAGATCAAGTTTTTTTTAAGGGGGGGACTTGTTCTCCTTTGGTGATTTCTCATTTGGCCCATCATTAAGGATCTCAAAATCCATCTATAATTTCAGCTTCTTAATAACATTTATTTGAATGCATTATTGCTTTTTTGTGCCATGTTGGCACCTATTTCTAAGGTAGAAAATTGGTATCAGCTAGATTGAATTTTGTTTTTTTCTTACAGGGGGAACTGTTCTTTTTTGGTTATTTCACTGTTATATGGCCTGTCATGAATAAGGCCTTCAATATCCCTGAAGAACTTTAGCCTTTTATTCATGTGTATTACTGGTCAATGTGCCATAGTGACAGTTAATTTCACCTTGGACCAGAATAAAACGACGTTGTCATCAAAGAGAGAGACATTCATTTTTTGATGATTTTCCATATTTCTGGCCCATGGTCATTACAGCAATTATAATCAATACTGAATTTCAGCTTTTAATTAATTTATCTGTGCATTATTGCTAAAGATAACATTAACTAGATAACATTAACAATAACTAGATAATCTAGTTATTTTTTAGCTGGGTGTCTGCCGAGGAGTTTATAAATGTAAATTATTTCTTGACTTCTGACTTTACTGTTTTATTGATCGTTGTATTTGTACAAAGTACTTACCATATTTGTGTTTGTACATCTCTAGAAATTGTTCCTGTGGTGAAATTTTTGCTTAGTTCGCTTGTCTAAAGCGACACCTGTGACAACGTTTCTTCCTTGTTTAACTTCGCAAAATCAAAAGCAATCATTTGTTTAGACACAATGGGTAGCATGATGACAAAGACAGTTGAACTAAATTACACTGAAATGCCCAAAAGGTTCTAGATATTAACGAGGTATGAGGCACCTCACCAAAGTACTGTGAAATTATTTGGGGTAAAATGGTAAAATGATAGTATGAACAAAACAGCCTAACCATATGTCACTGTAATGCTGCATGTTAATGCAGGAAGGTTACAAGTACAACCCCATTTCCAAAAAAGTTTGGATGCTGTGCAGAATATAAATAAAAGTAGAATGCAATGATATGCAAATCAAGTAAACCAGATTTTTAAAGGAAAATACTACAAAGACAACATATCAAATGTTGAAACTAAGAAATTGTATTGTTTTTTAAAAAGTTTAGCACCTGGACTCTTAATACGGAGCAATGCTGTTGTAATACATGCAGAATAAGGTTTTACATTCTCTTGCTAATATATGTAAGGCTTTCCCTGAAAATATGTGCATATGTGGCCAAATCATGTATGTATCATTCAGCATTAATGATGCTTTCACAGACAGTGGTTTTCAGAAGTGTTCCTGAGCCCATGTAGTTATTTCCACTATAGAATCATTTCTGTTTTTAATACAGTGCCGCTGAGGACCCAAAGATCATTGCCATTAAATACTGGTTTTTGGCCTTGTCCCTTACATACAGAGATTTCTCCAGATTCTCTGAATCTTTTAATGATATTATGCACCATAGATGATGAAAAGCAAAAGTTCTTTGCTATTTTATGTTGAAAAACGTTATTCTTTAACTGTTGCACTATTTGATCATGCAGTCTTTCACAGAGTGGTGAACTCCTTCTAATTTTTACTTCTGAAAGACTCAACCTCTCTGGGATTCTCTTTTTATACCCAATCGTGTTACTGACCTGTTGCCAATTTACCACCAGATGTTTTTTTGCATTACACAACTTTGCCAGCCTTTTGTTGCCCCATCCCAACTTTTTTGGAACATGTTGTTGGCATCAAATTCAAAATGGGCAAATATTTTTCAAAAAACAAAAAAAATTCACAGTTTCAATATTTGATATGTTGTCTTTGTACTATTTTCAATGATACATAGGGTTTAAATGGTTTGCAGATCATTGCATTATGGCTTAATTTACATTTTGCACAGTGTCCCAACTTTTTTGGAACTGGGGTTGTAAAAACACAGTACAAAGACTTATTTGTCTTGAAGTCTTATATAGTATGTTATATAGCATGTTATATAGCATGTATTTATCTTTACCTAGAAATGAAACTGAATCAGGACCATAAAAGGAAGTACTGCTTCTTACTGTGGTTTTACTGTGATTGTACCTCAAACTAAACTACACGTACCATCATGTTACCCAAAATAATTATCTAGTATTTTGGAGTTTATACCACATACTTACTTTGCTAATACCTAGAACTTGAGGGACTACAAAAGAAAGCATTACCCAATGAAAAACTTTAATATTGTGGGTAATATACGTGGTATGCATGGTGCAATGCGTTTACCAGCACTGAGAAATTTAAAGTTGCATTTCATGACATTACCAACAAGTTAATGTCTTGCAGTGACATAGTGCACAAATTGTAGCAGACACTTACCCAAGTATCTCTGCAGTTCTCAGAGTTATCACAAAGCATGGGATAATACTCTACCAGCCACTTTACCATTGCTTGGACATCATTTCTGGATGGATACATAAATTCAGTAGTTGTTGCTCTGATGATAGACACTATGTTGGTGACTGTGTTCCTCACTAATCGGCAGCGAAGTTCTTTTGAAAGCATGTGTTGTTTATTAAGTAGCGATGATGTGAAGATGATGAAGGAGACTCCGCTGACACTGTCTTCCTTGTATAAGATGTTTATTACAAAGTAAAACAGTATCATATCAAGCACTATAAAGTACCTGAGAGAGGATCCATGCCAATTCTAAAGTGTCCCCCCCAGACCACTATAGCCAATGACTTATATAGGCTGCTTGTTTTTGAAAAAGGAGACAGAACATATGGTCCTTATTAAAATGATCTCATCTATTTGGGATTAAGAGAGAGAGGCCTACTCCCTATGGGGCCTTTGGACCAGGGGGCCCCCTTAATTTAAACATTCCAAACTCTGCAAACACAGGACGCATAGAACTTCAGACCTCAACTTATACTAGAAGTTAAGAGTGTTTTTACCTTCTTCTATAAAAATGTTCCTTTAAATATACCTCATATTTCCCCCCTCCGAGACTTCCACAAAGTCTCAAAAAACAAAAAGGTATCACATATATGTTTGCAGTTGTAACAAAATAATAGTTCCACCTACACATGCTTCCTACAGCATAACCTTAGCAATGCAACAACTTTCTGGAGTGAGAGTGAAAAAACCTGTCAGGCTATCTTTCCTGAAATGTCCATCAAACAAACTAGACAGGAATAATTCTCTCACGGTCCCTCTGCCCTAGGAAACCACATAGAGTACTCCAGACCACTTTAAAAAGGAGGAATTTTGACAAATTGTATAGAGATATGACTTAAGCAAATACATACGGAAACCTCAGAAAATAAAATCAAAACAATGTCCACATTCAGGCTGGTCGACCCATCGGACCTTCCAATGGATCTTTCCCTGCCTAACACCAATATCCCTAAGCACACGAAAAAAGAAAAAAAACATCTGAGGTCCCAATGTACTTACCCCATAACAGAAAACATCAGTCTTCAAGCAATTTATAACCAAAGAAAGTGTTATAAATTTATGCAATAAACAACTCAAACACTCAATCCAACTATTATGTCTTACTAAGATTATCACTACCTTATAAATGTCCTCTATCAATATCACACATTACAATATAATATAACAAAATCCAGTACTATGCAAATATATATATGAAGACATAAAAATGTATCACACTGCAGCTCCTCAGCAGCGTCGACTCTCAGTGTAGTATCGATGATGTGCTGACTCTGGGCACTGTATCACAGTGTCCTTATTCAAAGTCCTTCAGTCCAGTCTTATTGTCCATGCACATCGGGGTCCCCGAAGATCCAACCAGCCTTACAGTGGTCTTCCCCCAACATCGTTCTTGAAGGAAAGAAAAGAAAACCACCAACCAGTATCTTTTGCAAAAATAACAGATGTAAACTGAAACATCAAAT